AAAAAAAAAAAAAAAAAAAAAAAACTCATGACATAGGTCACCCCGCTGCGCCTTAACACACGCAGTGTCACCCATGGCACAAGTTTTGCTTGACTACAGTTTGAGGTGCAGTTTCCCCCAAGGCCCTGCACCTATCTCCTTGAAACTTGGTAGCCTCTGCTGAGAGCATGAAGCCTGCCACCTCTGCAAGTTCCATCCAGATTGGACAAAAAACAAAGTTACAGATAGTTCATTGATTCCCCATTATACCCTATGGCTGAATCTCTGAATCGGCTCCAAAGCTACGGAGCCAATTTGGCTGAATCTGAGCAGGACACTGATTCAGAGCTCCAAATCGAGTTGCTGGCATCTGAATCAGCCAAATCCAAACCCGAATCAAATAGTTCACTATTCGCATAGGCCTAGTAACCAAGCCACCCAGATTCGCAGGTGGAGAAGTACATTAAAGGCACATTTATACCGCTTCTGCAGCAGTCTTGGGAGCATCAGGGTAACGAAAGAGATATGCTCCAAGTGATCCCTATTGAGATGTTTTCATCTTCCTAAAAAACTGAGAAGAAACATTTTGTCAAACATAAGTGGCCTCTGAAATAGTATCACCTTGCTACCAGTGCCCATATGGGCTAAAACTATTGCTTCAGTAAGGAGCACTCACATGAGTGAGGATTTGCAGATCTGAGTTTATTCAGCATGAGCATTTTAATGCCCCATTCACACCTATTATGGTCTCATATACATCACTCATTTATTTTACAATATTGCCTGCATAACTGCACATGAAAAAAGTCCGAATCTGCCAGAATGTCAAAGTAGCAAAAGACAAACACTCAAAAGGCAGGGAAGTACAAATGTAGGGCTGTCTATGGCACTTTAATTTACCCTTCCCCCCACTCCATCCCTTATGCATGAGTCTTTGATTACATAATCACATGCTATATTTTCCCCACAGCATCTGAACCCTCGTTCAGAGCACAGCATAGATAGTGTTCATTGAATGAGTACATTTTTTTTTTTTCCCTTATCACATAATAATGGAAAATGTTTGGCAAACCCACTTCTTGGCATCCTCACTGAACCATGTAGCGTCAATAATAATTGCAGTCTTCAGACTCTGTTGTGCTTTGTTAGCAAAAAGTAGGATCCTTAACCCCGAGTAGGGCAAGCTGAACACCATGCATGCTTCAAAGCAACATTCAGCCTTAATATCAAGATAGTGAAACGCAAGTGAAATACAGAAACACCATTCTGACTTCTAAAGTAAAAATACACTATTTGAATGATTTATAGTTGACCGCTTCAGAATGATAATCTGCCGATTCAGTTTTGAGAGTGCCAAAAAAATATTTAATTGAAAACCTGGCATACGTTCCCTACTAGATCTTTTAAATGCAACCCTGATCACTGAAAAACATGGAGGTGAGTAAACATGTACTGGTGTGGTTTGGGTTTTTTCCTCTTCCCTCATGCATGAGGCAAAAGGGTAGTGGAGAACAACTTAAGAAAAAGGTCTTTTGAGAAACACACAAAAAGCCAGTACTGCTTAGGGCCATTTCTTTCTTTCTTTTGTTTTGCTGTTTAAAAGTCTATTCAGTCTGCTCCACAAGAGGCTGCTTATCCCAGTCAGGCTTTTAGATATTAGATTCATCCTAGATATTAAAGAGAGGATTTTTAATCCTAGAAAAAGAACCACAGATGATCAGAAAACAGGGGCTGGATGTACCTCCTGCTGTCGTCATCATGGGAGCAGACCGCTGCTGTTCGTTTTAGCTGGAGTTGTAGCATAATCTTTTAAAACTTAAGGAAACCTTCTTGCTAACTGAGTGTCTTACTACAGGACTGGATACTGGTCCTTGAGTGTTACCATTGACTGGCTCATGGTTTCAGACTGGTATTTAAAGCATTGATTTTTACCTATGTAGCCATAACTGACTGATTTTGAAGGCTACTTCTTCTTATCCAATACTAGGAGCAGTGCAGTAGCAAGCCATTCTAGCAAAAACCATCTCCACAGAAGCCAGCAGGCAGCTCACAGAGAACAAGTCTTACACTCACTCACCTCATTGCTCTGCTGATCTGAAATAACCCTAACACCAGACAGCTTGTACAAGCACTATCTACAAACTCAAACCATTTGCTCTGACTTCTGCAGAGGACTGCTACCAGGGATTTTGTAGCATGAGAGCATAATCCTAATTATTGTCTCCAGCTGACTTTTGCAACTACTGGAGTTGAGATACACTGTTGGAGATAATGAGACAGATCCTCAGCTGGTATAAATGAGTGAAACCACACTGAAATCAATGGAGCTGTGACATTTTAAAGCTGTTTAGATCCTGGCCTAGTTGTTTTTTTCTTAGATTTTGAAATTAGAAACATTTTTGAGCATCTCTTATCTGGATTAGGTACTCATCAGCCTGATTGAGTCCATTGAAATCAGGGAAAGATTTCTACCGACTTGAATGGTTCAGAGCCTAGTCCTTTAAAAATAATCTAAGTGCATATTTCACAGTACCCAGTCCTGCAGGGATCTGAGCATCCTCCATTCCCACTGCCCTCATGGAGAGCTGTATGTGCTCAGTGCTTTGCCAGATCAGGTCCTTGATGAACTCAGGGCCAGATTTTATTGCAAAGAAAGATTAAATATGTTTTTGATGCTTCAGTGAGATTAATGGGGAATGGTCTGTGGGTTTTTTTCTTCAAGTGCTATATAAAAAGAACTCAGCTTTAATCTGTCAGGTTTCATTTTTTTAAATATTCAGGAGCTCAGTTCAAGATTAAGACACAGGTTAAAATATATTTTCTAATGGGGAGGAAACCTTGGGATAAAATAAGCTTTATGAAGAGGAGAACAGAAACATCTACTGGGTTTGGCTAACCAGTATTAGCAATGCAGGCTGTGCTTTCTCACTTCACCTTTCACCTACGGGACCGATTCTAGTGCCTTTGCTTGTACTGAGCATGATGCTGAGCCTAGCACAGTCTCACTGAGATGTTCTTCGCTAGGGGATTGTGTGGTATAATCAAGCCCTTCCTAAGCAGACAAGATTTTGGGAAGTGGCTTGGGACATCACACAGAAGCTCATATGGTTGAAGAAACTGTCTTAATTTGTCTGGCTTCAGCAAAGCTAGTCAGCAGCTCTGCTAGGCAGAATGGGGTTAGGACAGGAAACCTCAGCATGTTTGTATTAGGGCAACTGTCACGGCGGGGGTCCTCCAGGAGGGCCGTGATCTCCTTAAGGCCCCCTCTCCGTGCCTAGTTGGCCCCAGAGCCCCCTCCGCTTCTCGCCCGCCACGTCTTTGATGGTTTAAATCAGTTGGGAGGCTGCCTTACGCCCTCTCAGACACGTCTCTATGTTTATTCGGACCCCGTGGTTTCCTGGACTCCTCGTGGATGGTTCTTGTCCTCCAGGTGGGTGCTTGGGGGCACCCTAGCCTTATGGGCTATGCAAGGCTCCAACCACCCCTTATCCCACGCCCCAAGCCTCACAGTTGGAAGGGACATTGGACTGTCACCATCTCTCTCTCTAACATACACTGCCGCCCCCTCCTAGGGCTCTCCTCGCCCTCTCTCGGAGCCTCAACACGCCCATACTGGGGCTTCTCAATAATGCCCCCTCCTGGTGCTCACAACACCCACACTGGGCTTCTCGATAATGTTGCCCCCTGTCTGGGGCTCACCGTGCCCAACTTGAGCTTTCCAATAATGTGCCCCCTTTCTGGGGCTCTCCATGCCCACGCCTGGGCTTCTCAAAGGTGCTGGCCTCCTTATCTGGGGCTCGCCATGCCCACACTTGGGCTTCTCAATATGGTCCTCCTCTCTGGGGCTCGCCACGCCCATGCCTGGGCTTCTCAATAAGGCGGTCCCCTCTCTGGGGCTCGCCGTGCCCAGCTTGGGCTTTCCAATAACATCACCCCCTTTCTGGGGCTTGCCATGCCCACGCTGGGCTTCTCAATAAGGCGCTCCCCTCTCCAGGGCTCGCCACGCCCAACTTAGGCTTTCCACTAACATTGCCCCCTTTCTAGGGCTCACCACGCCCGCACTGGGGCTTCTCAATAGTGCCCCACCTGGGACTTGCTACACCCGCACTGGGGCTTCTAAAATGCCCCCTCTGGAGCTGGGGTCTAAGCACCCCATAAGCTGCACCCTGACTGGCACTGGGGTCCTCACGCTCTGCTGTGAGGCCCCTTTAAGGATACTGCACCCTCACTGGCACCAGGGTCCCCACGCCGCTGTGGATTCCCCCTGTGAATACTGCACCCACTCTGGCGCTAGGGCCCCCACACCACTGTGGGTCCCTATGAGGCCTCCTCCAACCCCTAATAGCCTCACCCAAACCACCGGTGTAATAAACAACAAAATGATACAGAAACTCGAGCCTCCGGGCTACAACATAACGTAAAGCCACCTGGCTAAACCACATTGCACAAACACCCTAGAGCTACCATCTATAATTCTGCTCAAGCAGTACCTGCGGGTCTCACTGCTTCTCGCATCCCTACTCCAGGAACTCCTGCCTCTCTGGCTGCTGGCAGGGAGCTCCCAGCCTGGCCTCAGCCCTGGGCTTTATGAGAGCCAGACCTTGCCCCTTACAGCCAGCTGACCGCTGTCAGGTGTGGGTCATTTGCTGCCTCCAGTTGCCTCCTTAGCCACTGCTAGGGCTTTTCCTCTAGCAGTTTTTCCTCTCTAGGAGCAGGGCACCTCAGTGCTCTGCGACAGTGACCAACCTTAAAATAGTTGTGTAAGGGAACGTGGATTTGTCTGCACTGCCCCTATGGCATGCCTGGGCTTGCCACGAAGCTCATTTCTCCTGCCTTCAGCGCAGGCCCTGAGACTAAAACAGTTTTAAGTGTGAATGGGTGCTAGTGAGTGAGTCCTAGAGCCTAAGAATGGCTCAGGGCATGGAATCAGGACCACCGTTGGACCTCCTTGCCAAATGTAATGTGGTCGGTGTGCATAGAGCAGGAGCCAAGAAGCAGAGGGTGAAGTTGGTGCAGGAGACATTATAGTTGGAGCGGAGCGCCACGCAGCGCAGGCCCAAGCACAGCTGGGAGAGCAGGAGCCCCTGCCTACTGCTCTCCTCCCCCCGCAGCAAACATGGGCAACAAGATGAGGATTCGTGGGGAATGGGTGGAGCCCTGGCTCCTTTAGATAAAGGCCAGAAGAAATGAGCTAGCCCAGTTGGATAGTAGAGGGAGAAAAGAGCTCGTCATTGGTCTGCGACCCAGGAGGTTGGGGTTGAGTCCTGGCTCTGCTATGGGCTTGCTCTCTTCAGTTCCTTGTCTGTAAAACGAGGGTAATATCATATGTCCTTTTCTCACGCATGCTGTACCTTGGCTATTTAGATAACTGTTTACTATTACTTAGATTACAAACTGTTTAGGGCAGGGACAGACTTTTACTATGCATATGGACTACGATTACCAAAATGGACACCACTGGAAAATAATAAGCAGCAATTGTCCCCTATTTAGGCCTGCAATAACTTTCTTCCCAGCAGGGAGCCTTGTAGGGCTCCTTGGGCCTGCTGCATGCTAGATGACCTCCTCCTGTGGGAAAGGCCTGGGGCTGAAAAATCTCATTGACTCATTAATGCTTAACTTGAGATATTTGAAGACCTGTACTTAAATGTTTGTGCTCTGAGTTTCTCAAGTGGCAAGGAGAGGTGAGGTACAAATACCAAATAACCCCATTGCTGCCTTTTACCCGAACATGAACCTCTTTAACAACTTTCCTGCAAACATAATACAGAATACGTTTTCTTTCAGCTATGACGAGTGTGTGGGACCAGGAGCAACACAAATATACATTCCTACAGATGATCCACCACCTTACTCTCTGAGAGATCCTTGTCGAAGGAACGACTTCTCTATAAACATTAGCTTGGAAGAGGAAGCAACTTCTGGGACTACAGGACGGGCTGCTAACTACCCAGTCAGACTGCCGGACTTGCAGCAGCCCATCTCATCCATTTCTTTGTCATCTCTCACCATGGAGGCTGCCCCTCCCTACGAGACTGTCGTATGTGAACAGAATGTCCCCATCCCATTGGTGCCAATGGATGTACTGAAAAATTCTTCACCTGACTACCAGACCTTTCTCAACCAAATCATGTAAATGAAAGTGGCTCTTCCCATCATACTTCAGGGGGAGTATGACCAATTGAGGTGGAAAAAGAGGTTTCAGTGGAAGAATAAAATCTGTAAAAGTTTTACCTATTTTATATCTTATGTGGGGATGTAATGGGATTTTTTTTTTAAATTTTTACAGCAAATTTTGAAAGTTTTGGTAAACTTTCATCTCTGAGCTTTCAGTTGTTCCCGACTTGTTACACAGAAACAACTGCAGCATAAAAACAACAGCGACGTGCAGTGAATCCTACCCTTTCACAGCATCTGAGAACACAATGAAGTCAGCCACTGTTACTGTAGATACATGTTATCCAGTCGAGCCTATGTGTTGATTTTATGGTACTTTGCATGTTGTAGAGCAAAAGGAGAAAGAGCTTTGTGTTGTTGTTGTAGGCGTCAGTACATTTCACCAAATGTCTTAGTAATAAGATATAAAAACTAGAACTTTAAAAGCATTTTTCAATTAAATATATTTCAAATAGACATTGAACAGTGCCTGGAGAATGTGGTTGTTAGCACCATACTGTGAACAGAAGGAAGGAAAGGGTATTTTGCTGTCTATATGGTGGTCTCACCCATGTTATTTATGCCTTTCCAAAGAGTGCCCTTTTCCCTTCAACAGCAGTAAAAGCAGACTTTCTAGAAATAGCAGCATATCCCTGGAAATACTAAGCATCCTCCATCTTTCTAGAAGCTCTGCCTGGGGTTGATACTCATGGGGTTGCTATCACAGCATGATGACTAGACCTAACCATGACATGAAGTATTTTGAAATCCTAAGGCTAGGGACAGAATTTGCACACAAACTGGTTTAGGTGATCAGAAACTGGTTTAAACCTATAGCAGAACAGAAGTTCAGTGCACACAAACTGCTTTCAAAATGGCCAAAACCAGTTTAAGATAAACCTGGCTGAAGTAGTATCAGACTTAACTGATTCGGGTCAACCCGGTTTATGCAATTCCTGTCCCAGACCCCTTCCTTGTTCAAGTTAACACACAGTCCCCCAGCATCCCAGGATGCTTTGCAGCCCTGGGTTATGTTGTCTGCTCCAGTGGAGCAGAGACTGCTTTGCCCGTCTGCTCCTTAGCCTGCTTCCTGCCTGTATCTGTCGACCCATAGTAACCGGGGGGCAGATCCCCTAGCCAGGGTCTACACAGCACATGGTGGGGAGGTAAAGCCCTGTGGTGGAGGCTTTTCAACCCTCGGTAGCCCTCCAACCTCCCCCTTCCCAGCTGCTGATTGCTTCAGCAGCTGCTACAGGAGGGATGGAGAAGTCCTCCCAGCCAGGTGCCTGCCCATGCAACCCAGCAAGAGGGCACCAGGGAGCCCCTGCCTTGGGGGGCTTCCCCCCACCCCAGCCCAGGGTCCCCAGGCCTGGAGCAGCCCCAGGGAGCTGAGGGTAATTCTTCTCCTCCTGAACTGCTTGCCTTAGCCCCTGCGAGTCTTGGGTAGCCCCAGGGAGCAGACGGATATTCTCCTGGTCTTCTGCTGCTTGTTTTGCGAGTCCGAGTCTATGGCAAAACTAGTTGCAGGGGAGTGGAAGAATTTCCCTCTGCTCCCTGAGGCTGCTCTGAGCTACCCCTGAGACTCACAGCAGCTAAGGAAGCAGCTCTGGGGTTTGGGAGGGGAATAATTCCCATAGCACCCTGGGGCTGCCCCCAGCTTGGGGGCTGGGGTGGTGGGAAACACCCTGAGGTGGGGGCTCCCCAGGGTCCCTATGCTGGGTTGCATGGGCAGATACCTGGCCTGGAGGACTCCTTTCCCCTCCATCCTGGGGCAGGAGCTGAAGCAATCAGCACCTGGGAAGGGGAAGGGGGTGAATGCCCTAGCTCCCCAGGGCTGCCTGGGCTGGGGGAAGCTCCGAGGGGGAGGATCCCCCAAGGTGGGCCACCACTAGGACAGGAGCCTCGTTTTAACTCCCTGTGGGAGGGAAAGCAGGAGGTTGGGGATGCTTGGCCAGGCTGGCAATGGCCAGCAAGCTGGGAGACGTGCTCCAGTGCCCCCTGCGTACTGGCCTGGGTCAGTGTAGGCCTCCCCCGCCTTTCCCAATTGAAAACTGAATATCAGTTCAGTTCATTACCGGTTCAACCTACACAGTGTAGAGGAAGCTGCCTAGATTGAATCGATTCTGCCTCGGGCTTTCTGATCGTCTGTACTTAGCCCAAAAGGTATTTTCATCCCAATTCTCTTGGTGCAAAACCGTATCTCCAGGAATTAACTTGTCTCTTTCTCAGTTATAAGCCAGTAGTGGGTTTAAAGGATCATAACCTTTTCCTCTAGTAACTGCCAAAGTGTGAAGTGTATCAGGACTTGGCATGCATAATGACATTACAAATCTTACATACCTTGTGCAAAATTATTTTATTCAGTTCTGATCCTTTTCACTGCAATGTAGCTCTCCATAAATCTAGCATCTGCTCTTAGTTCTTGTACCCCCATCCAGAAAATATGGATATATTCTACTAATGACAGCAGAGGAAAACTCTGTAAATATGAAGGTTCAATTTATCATGGCTTGGTGAGTATATAAACTCTGCATAGCTACAGATCCAGATCTTCAAATGGTGTAAGTCACTGCGGCTCCCTTGAAGCCAGTGTACCTAGCCAATTTTCTTTAAATCTCTTGCAAATAATTCCGTTCAATTTTTGTATTGGCAAAAAAGAATCTCAGCTGAATATCCCGTTGGAAGGACAAATAAGTACTAATTAAAACCAGTAGTACATTAAAATGACGGAAAATATCATCCAAAGCATGAGAATCCCAGTTAAACTTCCTGGACATGATGTACAATTTTCAATTAGAATCATCATACAACATTCCAAAAACTGATACAGTTTTAATTAATATGAAAGGAAGACAGTAATTTCATAGCTATTTCTGCTCTGTAAATTATAGCATTACTGACTGAATCATGTGTATGAAGTGTTGGGTTTTTAGCTAGAGCCTTATAGAGGCATGTCATTAGATAAATAAGGCTAGTATATAGTTTGCCCACTGATATAGAGAACTCATTTGTGGTTCAACAGGATTTTTTGGCCTTCACAATATGTCACACCCAAAAAGAGATGTAAATTAACAATCCTAGCTGAAACTGCTAATGGGCCCTGGCACTTTGCAAAAACAAACAAACAACAAACCCTAAATTAAAACATAAGGTACTTTTATTTATAAAGTAACTATGAAAATAGGTTTCTTTTTTGGATATAAATGTTTCCCAACAGGCCAATAAAATCCACCATGCTATTGTATTGGGAACAGAGAGAGAAACTTATAGAACCAAGTAAAAACCAAAGTGAAATGAACTAGTTTATGGATCTAATGCTAACAAAAAAAACCCTGCAAACTGCATGAACTAGAGCGGGGTGGGCAAAATGCAGCCCAGGGGCTGGATGCAGCCC